TTTATTTCTCAGACATAATCTTCTTTTGCACGAAAGTTGTCTCCCTCTTTTAATAGCCCTTCTGTTAGGTAGTTTGGATTGTAAAAAATATCTTGCTGAGAGTTCATCGTCACATAAGTCGAGACTTGTCATGTCTTGAGGTGGGCAATAAACATGACTGGGTGGCATTCTCTCTTCCTTGTTATTTACCATATTGTCAATAATGACTTCAGCTTCTTCTTCTTCTTCATCAATGGCATCGACTTTAGCGTGTTCGTCATCAGATTCGTAAAAAACTTTAGAATAATCAAGTTATTGAGACAATTGTTGTTGTTGTTGTAATGTAACATATAGCTCAACATCTGAGAAACCGAAATCCTCATGACTATGAAACATGTTACGCACATCTTCATCGTCTCGAATCTTTAATTGGAAAATTTTGCATTGCTCGTGCCCGACAAAAAACACAAGATTCTTGTAGATTAGCTGGCCAACTGGACCACAATGTAATTTCTTTTCTAATCTCGATTTCAAGTGTAAAAAATTTGATCTTCTGTCAATAAAAAATCTAGTAACATCAGTATTTTGAAAATTGAAACCGGTTGAGTTACATTCAAAAACCTCGCCGTATAAGTATGCACTGATCATGTATTGTGGTGTTTGAGCCATAACTAAAATGTTACTAAACTCGTGGTTGAAAGGATTGTTCTACTAATTGATATGCTAATAAATCAACTATCTCTATTATATTAATAACAATATAGTGTTGTTTTTTATTATTAAATATGCACTCATCACATGTATCTGCGTGCCTACAAGATTCTCTGCACGACAAAACCAGACTCTGCATAGCTACACTCTGCATGCCTACAAGATTCTCTGCACGACAAGACTACATTCTGCATGGCTACACTCTGCGTGCCTACACTCTGCATGCCTACAAGATTCTCTGCACGACAAGATTACACTCTACATGACTACACTCTACACGCCCACAAGATTCTTACTAATAAATGTCTACATATGGCTACCCTATTAGTCTCACAGGATATTGTTTCACACGCTTTCTTACTAATAAATGTCCTTGTTATGTTGTTTTCTAAAAATATTATCCAGATAATTTAACACATTTCATATCTTTAAGACTACATTATACGCTGCATACTTGTAATAAAGGAAAAATTATGTGATCATATCTTTGTAATAAAGAAAAAAATAAATATGTGATCATATCTTTAAGACTACACTCTATCAATCAATGACTGTAAGATTCTCTGCATTCCAATGAACAAGAATCTTGTAAGAAAAGACTACACTTGCACGCTTCCCTTCACCATTGTCATAAAAATTTAGCATGCACTAATATCCTAGCAGAATTTATATTTTACAATCAAAGACTTCACTTTTAACACCACATGTTACTATGTATGCTTGACAACACTACACTCTAGCAGAACTTATATTTTTACAACACTCTGCATGCATGACAACACTACACTCATGCGATAACTTCACATGCATGACAAGACTACACTTGCACGCTTCCCTGCACCATTGTCATAAAAATTCAGCATGCATTAATACCCTAGTAGAATTTATATTTTACATGCAAAGACTTCACTTTTAACACCACACTTTACTATGCATGCTTGACAACATTACACTCTAACAAAACTTATATTTTCACATATCTGCATGAATGACAATACTACACGCATGCGATGGCTTCACATACATGACAAGACCACACTTGCACGCTTCCCTATACCATTGTCATAAAAATTCAGCATGCATTAATAGTGGTAGTATTCACATACCTACACTATTACAGTAGCAGACCTACACTTTTAACACAACACTATGCATGAATGAGAATAATACAACATGCATTTTCATGTGACTCTTACACTTAGAAACTTGCACACTTCAACATGCATTTTCATGTGACTCCACTCATCACATTTAACCATTATAAATACATGTTCATCAAGGAACAAACTCTTCTCATCACATTACCAACTCTACTTCTCAGATGTTCTACAAAATCTTCTTATCAATCAACAAACTTCACTCATCAAACTTCACTCATCAAACTTAAGCCACAATGTCTCTACTCACAATAGGAAACGATCACAGATGCACAATTGAGAACATCACAGAGTTTGTAAGTATTTTATTTTTTGTTGTCATTCTTTACTAAGTTGATTTTTCCTTTAAACCTAACGATATTTATATTCTTTAGCAGAATGTATCAAGGTTTCATTGTTGTGTGCATGACTACATACCACACGACTCATTCATAGAAGGATACCTAGAAGCATGTGGGTTTGGTGATTTGATTAAAAGCAAATTGTACTCACTGGATCCCAAATTTATTCTAACGTTGCTAGAACGCTGGAGACCAGAAACTCATATATTTCACCTACCTTTCGGTGAATGCACTGTAACTTTACAAGATGTCTACATGTTACTTGGCTTACACATCAATGGTAAGGCCCTAAACGGAAAAGTTGGTGTTGATGACCAACTTTGTGAAGATTTACTGGGTGCCCCTCTATGTGTCGACATACCTCATCCACAACGTGAAGATCGACCGAGGGGGAAAGGTATTAATTTGAAATACCTCAGAGAACACTACAATAGTATCGTGTTAAATGAGGAATCCACCGAGTATGAGAAGATAGTTAAAACTCGGTGCTATATTATGATATTATTTGGTCATTTTTTATTTCCAGACAGTACTGAAAATACTGTAAATATTATGTATTTACCGTTGTTGCACAACATTAATAAAGTGTGCACATATAGTTGGGGTTCAGCTGTCCTCGCCCATCTATATAGTTCATTATGTAAAAATGCAAAAAAGTAAGTTTATTTTCAACACGAGTATACAAACGAACTTAATTATTTGTGCAATGTTTCTTAGTGACTAATTTATTTGTGTTTCTTTTTTTTAGGTGGTCTGTTCTGGGAATGAATTACCAAAGATGTCCCAGGAACTTCATAATCGTGAACCACAACCTTATAGAACACATTGGGCTAGAAGATGTAATTTATCTACCATTACTTTATCTAATTGATAACCATATACTTGTATTTCTCATTAAATATATTGTTAATGTAGTTTATCTGGATGTCGTACGAGGGTTTCGACCACCAACCCAAAGTCAATGATGTTGTCGTGTAGACATCTAAAACACCTATCATTCGGTTCACTACAATGGAGATGCACCAAAGTGATCGGGTGAAACTGCAGTTCGGGATGCATTAGGATATTCTAGTCGCTCCAACGTCATTGGGACATTGGCATCAGTTAAGGGTGGATACACAATGTAGTGTAAATCATTGGAAGGACTTTGCAAAAGAGATGTGTCCGCATTGGAAGAACTGACATCAACACATCTTAACCGACCCTATTGTGGAAGGGATAGATCAAGTTATCAATATATGATTTGGATTAGGTCGGTTACAACATTACAATAATTTGTGTCTGAGCCGATATATTTAATTGACCCAAGGCAACATGCGTCTTCCTCGAACTCACAACAGCAATCCAATGCCCAACATCAAACACCATTTTATACCCAACATCCAATTATGCCCACACAATCAATCTTCCAAACCGCAACCCATATATGCCACCAACCCAATCACAACAACAAGAGCCTTGCCTCTACCACCAGCCTTCTGAAACCGACACCACTTTTGCATATAGCGCTGATACATCATTTGACCCTATCCCATCAATCTATAACCCAGATAACTTTTTAACCCCACACCAACCAATCAATCTTTCTACCAACAAAATATCTATCCACTTTTTGAGTAGCAAACCCCACAACAACCATTACATCGTTTCCAAACCGATTTGATGTACCAATTTGGACAACCATACCGTCCACACCCCACCCAATCTCCGTGACAAAACTACGAAAACATGGACATTGAACTTAATTACAGAAGCGCCGTTGGCAGTGGCCCGACCGGCTATTGGGGTCAAATGCTTCAAAATTTATCTGATACGTCGGGGCCTTCTGAACAAATACCTCTTCCACAGGTCAACACACAAAGACTAGATACACCTCAACAATCTCGTGGTAGACCTCGACACCCGCGCGAATCCTCCCCAACGTGGAACCGGTGGTCGTTTTGATAGAGTCAGTCATTTATTTTCTTTTTTTTCATCTGTTGTACAATATTGAAGCTTTTTATATTATAAATATTAAAATTTATTTCTTTTAATTATATTATTTTTTACAAAATATTAAAAATGAGCAAATTTTATAATTTTTTAAATTATATGTTTTTTTTTAACAAAATTTTAAATATTATATAAAAAAACAAAAGACCCTACAACTGAGGCACCATATGGTATGACGACTCGGTGTAGGGTAGAGCGTAGGGTACGGTTCTAATTTTATATCCTTATGCCAAATGAAATGGAGACTCAAGTCAAAGTGACCTTGATCAGCCATTTCATATGGCAACTCAATGCACAAACATAATCATTTTAATATTTTTTTTTGAATTATTTATTTATTTAATATTTTAATAAAAAACATGATTATTTAATAAAAAAATCTCAAATATACCACACAACATTGGATGTTTGATTATTTATCTAGTGATTATTTGATAAATAATCTGTAATTTTTAGTTTGCGGCTTTGATTAAAAAGGTCATTTATAATTAATTTATGGGTCCCACGCGCCTTTAACCTTGTAAGCATCTATTTTTTCCAATGGGGAAATTGATAAATATTCAAGTTGACTTACGTGGTTGTTATGTCCAAAGTCTTTACATCTAACATATATCAAATTTAAAGCAATCTAATTTCTAATAATCGTTATTTGCTTGGATATTTCCACCAACGTTCCAAGAACCTTCTTCTTTTCCCATATAAATTCTCAAATCCTCCCCATTCTACTTTTCATTCATCTAAACTATACCTTCTTCACTTCATCATTTTCTTATACACCAACATATATACCTTCGAAACAGCTCCTAGATTCTTCATCAAAATGGCTGCCAAACGTCTTTTGGATGATTCTGATCAAGACAAACACAAACGTATCAGAACTACAGCAACACCTTCTTTTGCTTCGTATGTTTTTTATTCCTTCAACCAATCAAAATATTCATTCTCTTTGCTTCATATTCTTAATTATTTTTCATGTTCCAACTATATTTATATATTTATTAAATGTTGCATATTAATATTAATTACTTTTCAATTCTCATATTATAGGGTAATAGGAGAAGTTGTTATGGTGAAAAACATGCAAAACCTTTTCTCTGGCTTAGAACCATTACTTAGAAGAGTTGTAAGTAACAATTCATCTTTACAAATTATTATTAACTATACTTTAATTAAATTTATCTGTAACAAACGTGCCCTTAATAGGTGAACGAAGAAGTTGAACGAGCAATGAGACAATGTTATCCGTCACGATCGATAACAAAGTCACCTTCCTTGAGACTCCAAGCAATGGAGCATCCATCAAGTTTTCAATTCATTTTCAAAAAGAAGCTTTCACCTTCAATTTTCACAGGTAGTAGATTACTAGACATGGATGGAAACTCTATCAACGTGATCCTTGTCGACAAAAGCAATGACCAAATTGTTCCTTCAAGTCTGCCTCACCCAATCAAGATAGAAATTGTAGTTCTTGATGGAGATTTTCCATCTACTGAAAAGGAATCATCATGGACTAGCGAAGAATTCAACAGTAATATTGTGAAAGAAAGAACGGGAAGCGGCCATTGCTTACCGGAGAATTGAATCTTACAATGAGAGACGGAATGCACCAATTGGGGATATTGAGTTCACTGATAACTCAAGCTGGATTCGTAGCAGAAAGTTTAGGACTCGGTGTTAGAGTTGCTCCAGGGACTAATCAAAATGTTCGAATTCGTGAAGGCATGACCGAACCTTTTGTTGTTAAGGATCATCGCGGAGAATGTGAGTTTTCTATTTTTCCTTCAATTAAGAAAGGTTGTTAATAACAACTGTTAGTTAATTAATAGTTAGTTGGTAACATGTCTTCATTAGTTTAATTTATTTTATGGTGGTTGAAAAATAAAACTAATAAATTTTTGTTTATACAAATGAAGTGTACAAGAAACACCATCCACCAAATCTAAATGACGAAGTATGGCGTTTAGAGAAGATCGGAAAAGATGGAGCTTTCCACAAAAAATTGACTTCAGCAAAGATCACAACAGTTCAAGAATTTCTTAAACTGTCTGTAGTTGATCCTCTTAGACTTAGAAAGGTACGTCTAAACTAAAAGAAAATTATCATTAGTGTTAAATAAATGATTAAGATTTATAATCAATAAGCTAATTATGTTTATATGATTTTGGAACCAGATATTAGGTGTTGGAATGTCAGACAAAATGTGGGATGTAACAATAAAACATGCAAAGACTTGTGTAATTGGAAACAAACTATATGTGTATCGTGGACCTCAATTTACAATTCATCTGAATGCGATATGTCAAATGGTTAGAGCTTATACCACCAATGGCCAAACCATTCCCAACAGAGACATTAACAACATTAACAAGGTACATTAAATTATACTAAAAATTTCTTGTTTGTTTCTTCATTTTAATTTTATTATAAGATATGATTTTTAACCTATAGTTTATTTGATTAACAGAACTTCATACAAAACTATGTGAGAGAAGCATATAATAGATGGAATGAGTTGGATGAAATTGATGAAGGTTTGAATGAGAATGTGGAAGCAAGTCAATTTCAAAACAATAGGAATCATCAAGCATCGGTTATAGCATATGAACAGAATGAGTACTATGTAGCAAACAATAATGATAATAATAATAATGCAGAAATAGGGAGTATAGAATGGTCACCATTTGCCACGTCACCATTCATGAATGGAATGCATTATAGTTTTTCAGAGTCACAATCAGATGGTGGTGATATAACACCTTCAAGTTCAGGACCAGTCATTGGTGGAGCCTCCTGCTCAAGGTGGCATTAGAAATAGAAAATGTAGTAATTTGGCCCAGAAAAAAGGATGTAGCCAAGGCAATTTTGTCTAATGTTGGGCTTACTTTGATATCTCTTTGTAGTTAGGTTTAGTGATTTTCTAGGCCCATTTTAAGGCTGTGTGAAATATGGGTCTTGTTCATGTTCTGAAAAAAATATGCAAACCTGCCTTTACTGGCCAGTGTTGATATGTGTATCAAAATTTCAGCAATTATAATTTGAAAAATTGAAAAGCAATTACAAAGCAGTATTTTTATTAAGAGCATGTGAAAAATATGAAAAATAAAGTTGATGTAAATATAACATAATGAAAGATAGACCGAATTCATAAATCAACTTCTTATCGTTAACACTCTTATATTTGAACAACATATTCACAAGTTAAGTTTTTGTAATTAAAATTCTGTTCAATTTTGAGCGTTGGTGAACAACATACTCACAAGTAAGTTTTTGTAATTAAAATTCTGTTTGATTTTGAGCGTTGGTGAATAACATATTCACAAATTAAGTTTTTGTAATTAAAATTATGTTCGATTTTGAGCGTTGGTGAACAACATATACATAAATAATTTTTTTTTATTATTAAAGTTTTTGAGAAGAATTCATACTCTATTGGTAGACTTCCACACAACACTATCAAAGTCAATCTAAATAGAAGAATAACCTTCTTCTTTTTAATTAGAATTGTCAGAACTAATCACAACACCACACACTCTTGTAAGTCTCTGAAATCTTAAACAAATCTTTAAAAAAAATGTTAAATCCAAAACGAATCTCTTCAATCAATTACGAATCTTCAAAGACAAGATTCAGATTCATGCAACAATGAAAAAATGAGATAGAAGATGAAAGAAATCGTTTGTAACTGTTTAAGAAAGATTCAAAAAAACTCTTTTGAAAATGAAAGAACAAGTAGTCTGTGAGTTTTCAAATCATCAATGAAAGTGCATGTTTTCTAACATTGTGAATGATTTTAAGAGAGAAAAATAATCTATAAGTACTTGAGATGAAACACAAAAATTAGTGAAAAAACATATTTGATTCGAGTCAAGCACATAACATGATTCGAGTTAAGCAAACTTTGATTCAAGTCATGAAGCAGTTATGATTCGACTCAAATAATACAGTAGTTGATAGAAAGTTCGTTTTTGACTTATGTAAAAGTTGTGATTTGACTCATAAGACTACATGATTTGTATCATGTTCAATCTATGATTCGACTTACAGATCTGAAGAATCTTCTATTTTCTTTTTATTTGATTTGATCTGACTATGTGTGATTCAAAATAAACATTTGAAATCTCAGTTTTTGAAGTTCTTAAAGATATTTTGAGATTCTACTTGTGACATGATTTGAACCAATTATCAAATGTGGCTCTTGTTCAAAAAACGCGACTAATTGACTTAAACATATTGTTCATACTCAAATATAAACAGTTTGAATTATGCATTCTAAAATACGGATTCAAAACTGAATCCTTAAAGATGCACAATTAAAGAGGAAACTCAAATATAATACTAAAGTCAAAGTAAAGCTTAAGAGACAGACAACAAAATCACATATAGGTCTCCCCCTTAAATGTATCAGAGACATGAAACTTCAAATTTCTCATTTTTGGATGTCTGGTAAGCTTTCCCTTGAAATTGAGTCGAGTTCAAGAAAAAGAAAAATGTGATCAATATTTTCCTGCAATAGCTTATGCTTTCCATGAACTATTGCTTAATACACATAAACATACAGCACATAAAATAAATCTAGACTCATATTACAACTTATCCCCCTTTGACAAGATCAAAAAGAAATATATGCCAATGAGGTTAAACGCAAACAAACCAGTAACACAAATGATAATCTAGAGAAACAAATTAGCTAAACATAGTTAAAAAGAATATACAACATCAAATATTGAATACATAATACAAAGATAGACATGCAACTACACATGAAAACATAATTACATGATCAAAATTTAATGGAAGATTAAATAATACATGAACAAACACAATAATTTTTAAACGCAAATAATTAATAATACACAATTAAAAAGAAAAAAAATACAACAGATGAACAATCATACAATAACTTAGGAATGAATGAAATAAGATTTAAGATTTAAACAAATGAACATATAAGAAAAAAAAATACAAACAATGTTATAAAAGAATATGTGAGTTAAAGAAACATAACAATAGTGTTAGTTAGAGCAAATTAGCTACAAGAAATTGTTAGTGTACAACATAAGCATATAGCAAAGAAAATAAAATATGAAACCAAATATATTTAAAGCACAACGAATCTAGGATTCCCAATTCACTATGTATCTTGTGAAAAAGTTCATATAATAACAGTTTGGTAAAAACATCAGCAAGCTGATTTTTTGTATGCACATATTAAAAATAACATCACTCTTTTCAACACGATCCCTAAGTAAATGGTGTTTGATCTCTATATGTTTAGTACATGAATGAAGTACATAATTCTTAGTGAGGCTTATTGCGTTAGTGCTATCGTATTTGCTTGGTACGCAACTGAGTTTTAAGCTGTACTACAATAATTGTTGCTTCATAAAGTTTATGCACAACAATTACCAGCAACTAAATATTCAGTCCTGCCGATATAAAGAGCAACACTATGTTGCTTCTTACTATGCCAAGAATCTAAACACTTTCCAAACAGATGGCAACTACCACTGTTGCTTTTCCTATCAGACATGCAACCAACAAAATCAGGATCATAGAAACTTACTAAGCTACATTCACTTTATTTAGGAAACTAAAAAACCGTGATATGAGGTTCTGTTAAGATACCTCAAAATTCTTTTTAGGATCTTAAAGTGGGATTCTCTAGGACACACCTAAAATCTAGCACACATACACACACTAAACATAATATCTTGCCTGCTCACTGTTAAATAAAGTAAGGATCCTATTATACCTCTATATTTGGTAATGTCAGACTCTACTCCACTCTCATCATTATCTATCAGCATATTTGATGCCATAGGGGTTGAGATGCTTTTCAAAATTTTCACATCGAACTTCTTTAGAAGCTCCAAAAAATACTTCATTTGACTTATGAAAGTTCCATCTTCCGCTTGCTTGATTCGCAATATAAGGAAGTAGGTAAGCTCTCACATTAGAGACATTTGAAATTCACCATGCATCAAACTAAAAAAATCCTTGCAAATGGATTCATTAGTAGATACAAATATAACATCCTCGACTTAAATTTTAACTAAAAGAATATTCTTTTCTTTGCATTGAATAAAAAAAGTTGTGTCCATGTTTCCACGACTAAACCATTGTTTCGTTAAAAATCCACTAAGGCGCTCTTACCGAGCCCTAGGAGCTTGTTTTAGACCATATAGGGATCTTTTTTTTTATAAAAAAAAACATAGTTAGAATTTTCATGATCCTCAAAACTATGAGGTTGAGAGGCGTAGACTTTTTCGTTTATATAGGCCTTAAGAAAAGCTGACTTAACATCTATTTGATACAATTTAAAATCCAAGCAGAACACGAATGCCAAAAGGAATCTAATAGCTTCAAGACGATGTATAGGAGCATAAGTCTCTTCATAATGTATTGCTTCATCATGACTATATCCTTTTGCAACCACCCTAGATTTATTTCTAATAATTATTTCATTTTCATCTAGCTTGTTTCTAAATACCCATCTAGTGTCAATGATAATTTTATCAAATGAATGTGGAACAAGGTCCAAATTTAATTTAATTTAACTTGAATGAGTTTTTATTGCATAAAAAGTACCCATCCTTCATCAACTAAGGCATAAGATATCATCTTAGGTTCAATTTGAGACATCAAACCAGAATACTTACAAAAATTGTTAACTTTGATCTCATACTTACATCTTTCCTAATGTCGCATATCACTTGATACAATATATGAACTTTTGCAACAATCCAATCAAGAGGTAGCTGAGGCGAGCTCTTTGTTGGGTAATAATATTGGACTAATAACGTTCTAAGGGTGAATAGACCTCCCCAAAATAAATGTTTATTTTGAAATTTTTTTTTATCAGAGTTTCAAAAACAAAATGTTTTGCATAGTGGAAGAAAGGTTTGTGTAAAAGAGATTATGTTTGTTGATTGGAAGTTATGTTAGTTTACTCAAACAACTTACAATACAACCAAGACAACATATTGAATCTCACCAAAATATACAAACCAATAGTATTGAACAATTGTTCAATTTCATGGGAAATGTTATTTAATAACTTTCAATACAATTAAGATTTTACTATCAAAGTCTTCATACTTAATACATAATAAGACAAAATTAAGCAACCGATTCTAACAAAACCTACTACTAACGAAACAAATCCTTGTTTACATTAAGATAAATCATATCAACATGCAATTCTAGAAAGTAGTATAAATAACCCAATCACGTAATCAACTAAGCAATTAAATGTGTGTGCGTGTGTGTGTGTGTGTGTGTGTGTGTGTGTGTGTGTGTGTGTGTGTGTGTGTGAGAGAGAGAGAGAGAGAGAGAGAGAGAGAGAGAGAGAGAGAGAGAGGAGAGAGAGAGAGAGAGAGAGAGAGAGAGAGGAGTGAGAGAGAGAGAGAGAGAGAGAAATAGAGAGAGAGAGAGAGAGAGAGAGAGAGAGAGAGAGAGAGAATAATGTACGTTGATATTTATAATGGTTTGTGATGTTCATCCTTGCTTTGTGCTTAATCCACTCTCCGATGGTTTCACATTGAATATTTGTTAGGCTTCCAATATGATTTGTAACAATATTACAAGAGTTCGTATGATTACAACTCCAAAAATAAACGATGAAAACATAAAATTCTTTATTTAGAATCTTGACTTGTACACAACTTTACAAACTAAACTCTATGCAAAATCTTTACTCAAATCCGCTTCATGAACCTTCCATCTCTAACAACCTGCTCTCATGCCTCCACCTATGGAAATTAACACATAATTTCGTTGATATCTTATGCATTGGATTGTCCAAAGATT